TTTTGTCAAAATTTCACCCTAACCCTAAAAACATAAGGGTGGTGATTTTACCTCCGGGTAAATATAGTTATTTTCAATTTTTAAAACCAACTTATATAGCATTTATAAAATTTAACCTCTATATAAGCACAAACTCTTTATAAGCACCAAATTCTTAAACCTGAGGGTGTGATTATAGAGAGGTTTGACTGTATCAGGACTTTTTAGTACTGTCTTCCCTTTTTATAATCACACAATTGGGACCATAGTAATTTTTTTACCAAAATGTGTTTATAAAGAGGTGTGCTTATATAAAGGTTTTTTATATATATTAAATGAGTGCTGCCAAGGCAAAACCTGTAAGCAAATTTTGAGGTATCAATAAGGCGTGATATTACGTATTAAATCATTGTATACAATCAGTGTTCTGGTTGTTTCTATATCAGTGCACTTGTCAGCATTTAACAAAACTTAGTTCCTAAGTCTTGTTGAATGACGTAATGATTTTATACGTAATATCACAATTTTCTCGGTTAAACTCGCCTTATTGATACCTCAAAATTTGCTTACAGGTTTTGCCTTGGCAGCACTCAAATAGTAATTGGGCTCAAATAGGGGTGTGATTATAAAAAGGTTTTTATATGAAGTGATTATAAAGAGGGAAGCTGTAATTGGAAAATTAACTTTTTTAATTTAGTGATAAATGTGGAATATTGTAATTATACCTTTTTTTAATACAACTAAAGTTACTTTTTTTGAGCGAAAAATATAATTTTTTTATGACGTATTTTTTTTAATCGATAGCTTTTATTATGCTCTTTTCAACAATAACCTCGGTTTTACAAATTTTAATAGCTTTGTGTTCGTCGAACTTAGTAAAAGAATTTACTACTTGTAAAATGGAATAAATCGAAAAAATCTATTACATTAAATTACACGAAGTTCTTTCTCTTTTTAAAAAAAAATTAAATTAGTAGTCATTATACATTTATTATAAACGCACCTATGATGGTTTGGCACCTATCATATGTTTTTATTATGTTTTATAGATTTTTTAAGTTTTATATATAAAATTTTTAACACATTATGGTTAGTATTTAGGTTAGTATAAAATTTGGGAAGGGTTTTGGAGGACGTAGAACATTTTTACTTAGAACACCTCGTATCGATTAATTAGCTAGTTTTTGAGATAGTGTATTCATAGGTGTAAAACACCATAGGTGTGTTTTAGTAAAAGGCTTATTATACTAGTTCGAAAGAAAACTGTACCGAAAGTTGTTATTATTCGCAGTAATTTCGGATTTTCATAAAAAAATTTTTATCATATGCGACCCTAAATAATGTTTGATTTTATTAGTTTGATGAACACCCTAACACTCAGTTTTTAACAAATATTTTTCAATACTGTCTACATGCTACTATTCTCTTTAATACTTAGTACTGAAATTATTTGTAAAAATCTCAATTATGATTCCAAAAAATGAAGGTCTGTGCTTATACTTGTTGGCAAAACCTGGACAAATCCCAAACCCCAAAAATACAATTGCTATTTATAAAAAATTGAATCAAAAAAATAAATTTAAAATTTTGCAAATATATTATATATAGCTATAAATATTTATATGATTTGTTTAAATGAAGATCATTAATAAAGTTTTTGAGATATGAGTTTGGCCAGAGTTTGGGATTTGGGACGCCCAATCCCAAACTATAATAGTTTGGGATTTTGCCAACATGTACATCTGTGCTCCGTAAAAAATTGTGAATTAGCATATGAAAAAGCTCAAAGGGAGGGAACCTACGCCTCTTATTTGACAATTGGGCAACAAGTGTGTAATAAACATTACATACGCATTGTTGAATCTGACAGGAGTAAAACAGTAGGTGCTTCTAATTCAACCATGTATTGAACTTGACAAATAGAAGTCCCAAATTTAATAGAGATAATACAGATCGAGGTAACAAATATAACAATGGAAGATTAGCCTTGAGTTTCACGATAAACATATACGATATTTGTGTGAAATAACGCCCCGGAGCACAGCCAAAGAATTTTTATTTAGTTAATTTAATCGGTTCTACTAAATCGCACCAGATACATCTATTTACCCATAGTTCGCGTTAATGTTAGGTTAGAAGAAATATTGTATAAGTAATATTGCCGGGCTGATCCGGGACGATCAAAATCTTGTGATTTGATTGGTCGATGCAGCATGTAGAAGTTTGTTTTAGGTTGTTCTCAAGCACCTCCCTCTATTATCGATAAAGTGATCCGATTGGCTGAAAAAATAAATCGTGTTTAATCATTTCGGTCAAAAAAACCTGGGGCTAGCAACCATCTTTTTTTTTATAGAGTTACTCCAATTGGCTGAAATTTAAAATCCGCATTTCGCATAATAAATTTCGATTAAATTGTTACAGGGATCACTTCAATAATTTCGATTAATCGAAATGATTGAGCAGCATCTCGATTACTTGCAAATTACGCAAATTACATCGAGGAAGCTGCTTGAGAACAACCTTAATTGGTTATTGATCCAAATCATCAGATTGATCATGATTGGCTGGTAGATCATGCCTTATAATATATGTTATATGAAATCGTACAAAAATTCTTTTTTGCAACCCCAAGTCTTGTTTAAAACTTTTAGATCTCTATAGATCAAATAGAAAAAGGTAGTTTACTTATACATGAAAATAGAGAAAAATATGAAGTTTTTACTAGTTATTTTAGTTAAACTAAAAACTTAGTAACTCTTATGATTATTTAAATTGTTTTTTTAATAGTATTTTATTTAACAATTACTATGCAAAAATAATCTAGTATAATTGACTTAGAAGACAAAATATACGAATCATGTAAAATTATATTATAGAATAAAGAAACTAGGAATGTTTTTGTATAAACTGTTTTGCTATAATAGTCAAATATGTTTTTATTGCTAACTACTTAGCTTTAATAAGTACAAGCTTCTTAGTAACAAGAGATCAGAATTTATGTTATATTTGGTTAGTTTTTTGTAATATATTGGATTTGTTGGCTTTAAATTTAAAGTTTTGGTTAATATATTGCTATATTATATAATTTTTTTAATAGATTCTAAATATTATATTTATTTACTTTATATATATATATATATTTTTTTGGTTTTAAGGTGAGGCCTTACTCATATCTTTATTAGTAAAAATTTTTTTAATAGTAACAGTGTAGATTAC